TGTGATCTTTGGATCAATAATTTAGAAAAGAAAACATGATCTAATGTTATCTGTAAGTTATTGACTATTAAGTTTGTTAATAGCTAAATGAATGAAAAATTTATCTTCTTCAAAGAGATTCAATCAATTACTCATCAATTATGCATGAAGAATTTCATGTAACTAAGTATGTGAATTCAAAGTGTTTTTAAGTGTTAATTTGTTTACAGTCATTGAAAAAACAACCCCCCCCCAAAAAAAAACATAGTTATTATTTATTTAATTGAAACAATAAGGATACGGTTAGACTGATCTATAAAAATTCATGGTTGTTACTATTGTACACTAGTATTTATAAATGAAAACAAGGTTAATTCCGGTTTACTTGACCTTGTCCACCGTATTTACATATAATAACAATTGTTATTACTTTTTAGAGATATTATAGTAGTATGAATGTTAAACGAACCTGACCTAAGATTTACAGAATTCGACACTTGAAAATGATGTCTTACATAAATATAGTCATGTCATAATGCTGACTAATAATAAAGATTATATTTGATGATAATGAATACTTTGCATTAGTTCATTATCTTCTGTTTAAATTTTACAAGTAATCAAGTGAGACAAGAATAGATAACTATTGCAAATTAGATTGCTATGGATATCTGTTTCTTTTTAGTATGCTTGAAGTTAGAGACTAAAATTATTGGAATCTAACTCAGTGGTTTAGAAATTTTAGGAACTCATTATGAAACCTAAAGATCCTGGATCAAATCTCCAATGTGCTCATAGATGAACACTGCTTAAGAATCCCTTACTAGTACAGAACAGCTGTCCAATGTATCTTGGATTTCAATTGTTGTTTTACATAGGTCAGTCCTTGATGAAAACAATAAAATTAAATATGGTTCACAAATTCTTACACTGATAAAGGATAAAAGTAGTTTAGTGAAAATATTTTTCTAGTCATTGACTCAATTTAATAAATAGACATAATCTACCTTGAAATTTATAATGCAACCACTGATAAGTACTATCTTACGTCTCAGTTACAAAGAAGTAAACATTCTTGCCATTCAAAACATTTCACATCAGTAAAACAATTTAATTACAATTACGATATTTTGTAGTTTTTATTCTGAAATTTAAAACAATGAAAACTTTGTGATCAGTTCTAGTCTTGATCAAATCGCTTAATTGATTTTTGATTGATTCAAGTAATGATGCCATTTTGTTCATAATCATAGTTTCATAATCTCATCAATCACTTTAATTATTGATTTATATGTCAATATTAAGTTTTATTATGATTACATATCTTTTCTAAAGCCATGTTATGTCCAGTCTATTAATTATAGTATCCCATATTCACAGCCATTTTTGGCTAGATCTTGTACAAATGTTATTTTCTATTTTATGGTACGACGTAGTCTGTTTGGTTGGTATATAAACTCAGTACGTTTGAAATAAATGATTCACATTGTAGAGGCTGAGATTGGTGTTCTGGACTTAAGAGGCAGGGCTAGACAGGAAGTAGGACCGGTAAAGACTTTAGACTGCTCGTACGGGTTTTATTTATTATTAGACCGGTCGATAAATCACTGTTCTCTAATTGGAAGTGTCATTACATTATACATTAATAGGACACAGGGCACAAGTTATAACACTGGGATGCAGGTACATCCAGCTGACAAGTCTCAAATAGGAAGAAACGCGCGTGCTGGATCCCACTGCTAGCTACTATCCATCTTTGCTTATAAGTATTTCAATATTAATAATCTACAGCCATGGTAAATTGGTATACATCAGTCTGCGATGACCTTAGTTGGAAGATAAGGATAATAAATAGAGGCACAATGCCTGAAGTTGAAGAGAAATAAACTGAGATAAGATTTAAAATGTCAGCATTTTTTAGTTTTTCCAATTAATGGTTATTTATTACATAAGGAGTAGTTCTAGTAGCATTTATTAATCTTCAGGTTTGAAAATATCCTACCATATTCTTATAATCGAACCGAATCCTAAGTTATTGTTATGTTCATTGTGCTTTTGCATAATTAAGACTGCTGTTTTCATGATGCAATCGCTTGTATAAGTTTTCTTTCGAACAAATGTTTTTCATTTATCGAATAGTTGAAAATAATCTTCTTCCGTACAACCAGCATGGACGAACCTTGTTTAATTTTCAAAGGAAAATAGATATATAAATATTTTAAAAGTAAGGGGTTTGTGAAGATGAGTGAGTTTTATGGTTTGTGTCACGAATTAAAACTAGTTGAACAACAGCTGAAAATCACGAGCGATCGGACTGCTGCTTAACCCTACTAACTGACTCTTCAAGAGTATGAATCCATAACTCCATTTGGGATTAAGCTAATAAAATTCAAGTCTGGAATTGAAAAGTTACTCTTTAATTCATTGAGTTAACATTCAATAGTTTTCATGTCTAGCTTCAGTGAATTTCGGCGATCGGATAACCATCTTTCAATGTCATCGGTGGATAACTGCCTTACACCTAGCATAAGTAAACACCACTAATCACAACTTCTCTCTGAATTCTGACTCAGCAGTTTGAAAAACCAGTGACATCATCAAGATTTGTGGATTTTTGATTTGATTCCTGGTGGGACGTGAATAAAGATTGTTGAAGAATCTTATGATAGGGCGAAACAACTCATTAATGCTCCGTGGTGTTCAACAGTTGTCTGATAACGATGCAAACTATAAAATATGAATATTATGTTTTGTAATGAAACTACATCGTAAAAAGATTGCTTTTCACAAGTCCCTTACGTAAATTGTTTGCACAATGTATGTGGTGGTATAACATTGTGTAGTAATTAGATTTCATTGCTTTTCAGTAATTTTATTATTTGTTTTGAATTATTTTGAGGGACGTATTGGAGAGTTTTGTGTTTCATTAAGACTGGATTTCTTAATATTCTATTTGGAATAATGACGCAATCATATGATTGAATTAATAGTGAACAATCAAATCCTTTTATGCATAATAATGATTTACTGGTTTCCTGAATGCTTAACATGATTTGAGTGGAAATCCGGGAGTGTATTAATGAGTTAAATAAAAATCTATATTTTGATTTACATAATTTATATAGAAATGTATGTAAATAATAATGATTTTTTTATGTGACTAATCAATAATATCAGAATTAGGATTTGTGGAGATCCATAAGACGATTTAAGCTAGACCACCATTGAATGGACGCCAGTTCAGTAGTCTAGAAATTAACGGTTCGCGTGCGAGACTGGAGGTCCTGTGTTCGAGTCTTTTTGGTACGGGATCGTGGATGCGTATTTCTGAGGAGTTACATAGTAGGACGAAACGGCCGTCGAGTACTTCTAGGTTTTCAATAGTGTTTAGTTTAGATCGACTAATGTATTCAACTATTAATCAATAATAATCTTAACTAATATTTGGTTAACCCTATTAGACCATTTTAATAAAAAAACTTCTATTTGACAGTAAGAATATAACATATTCTCGTAATAAATGCATATTATTTTCAACAGTTGAAATCAGGAGTCAATTCAAGCCAGACCACCATAGAAAACCTGGAAGCACTGGACGGCCGTTTCAACCTAGTATGGAACTCCCCAGCGGTGCGCACCCACGATCCCATCCCCCGCAAGATTCGAACCCAGGACCTATCAGTCTCGCGCGCGAGCGCTTAACCATTAGACAACCGAGCCGGTCAGCCTCCAACAGTGTTAATGTCTAACTTTGACCAATCTACGAAATTGCGCTACTGTAAACCATTGTCTTCAGTGAGCTGATATCTCATAACGGACATGGTTTTCCATAGTGGTCTAGCTTCAATTGACTGTTGAAATGACTAAAACCTCCACAAAACCCCTTCTGATATATTATTTTGTTATTTTCAAGCCTAGGAACGTTAAATACCAACATTCTCCCAGTGATCACAAAATTGACAACTAGAAATTATATCATTCAATAGTTGCTGAACACATTTCCAAATTAATCATTTTTCATCTGAGTTCTATAAAAAAATAATTTTCATAATGATTTCTCCATTGTACATGAATTTGAACATATAGAATATTACACAGATTGAAATCATGAGTCAATCGAAGCTAGATCACCATGGAAAACATGGAAGCACTGGACGGCCGTTTCGTCCTAGTATGGACCGTTCAGTGCTTCCAGGTTTTCCATGGTGGTCTAGCTTCAATTGACTCATGATTTCAATCCATGAAATTTCTCAAATCTCCACAAACTCCTTCTGATATAGAATGTTAGCAGATAAAAGATAATTAATGATCATATACTTGATTATGAATTGTATTATCTTAGATTAAATATAAGATAGAATACCTAAAAACATAGATTATTTTAATTTTTCACATCTTAATGATAATTCTATTCATGTATAGATATTAATCCATTTCAAAGTGTTTTAGAATTGTACACAAAGAGACTGTTTCTGACCTTCCAGAACAATACAGAATTTTAACAAAGCTTTATATACTTTTTAAAAGGTTCGAATATTTTTTTCTGGTTAGCATTTTTTTGACGAGTTAGTTTTCTACGATATGGGGTCGCTAACCCCATGCCCAACCCTCCTCCTTTATCTGGGCTTGTGACCGGCAGTAACCCCCGGAAGGACTCCAGGCGGAGTTATATACTTTAGAACTATACAATAATTCCAAAACATTTCTATGAAATCAATCACTAGTCCAGTATTATGATCTATTTAACTAATTTTGATATACTTAAATCATTCGATATTACCAAGTAAACAATTTAAGTTCTAAAGACATTTGATTTGTTCTTCTATAGATTAATAATTTTATCGTTAAATTATATCAATCTGAAGGTAACTAATTATTCAAGGTTATTGTAACCTTCATTATGAACAAAGGCTATTGGTTAGCAAAGTAGATCGATTTGATTGGTTAGGGTTTTTGTTTTCAACACTATATGACTTATCCAATCGTATTATTGCCTTGTTAATGATTGTGTATAAGGAATTATTTGAAACAGATTGTTTATAAACTATTACACATTATTACATTGTTTGACATTGATTTATGAATGAAAATCTGTATGGTAAGTAATTCGTTATCATTTAATTTTATTTCTATATATAAGTAACTTATAAATATTACATTAAAGTTTATCTGTATTAGAGTTTTAAATAAATTCTGTTAGGTTTACAAATATTCATATTAGTACTATTAGTCTTAGCATAAAGAGAATGAAATTAAGAGGTTAAGTGTTCACGTGCCAAACTGAATGTCTTGGGTTCGGATCCTATAGGTGGGATCATGGATATGAAGTGCTGAGGAATCCTATACTAGGACGAAACGGCCATTCCGTGCTTCCAGGTTTTTAATAGTGGTCTAACATCTATCGTTTCATGATCTTAATTAAAAACTTAATAATCTCCACAACCCTATACTGGTAATTATCATGTGCTCACTAGTGATTAGTTTCGTGAGGGAATTCTCGGAGTTCTAGTGAGAAGCCATGACCAGTGGAGCTAATCCGTATCGGTTAGAGGCAGGTATCTACTTCAGTGCAATGGAAGATGGTTGTGCAATTTCGTGGATTGGTTGAGGTTACCCATTAATACCATTGGATGCCGGCTCAATAGTCTAGAGATTGAACGTTCGCGCGAGAGATCGAAGATTCTGGATTTGATTTTTTTAAATTTTTGTTTTAACACATAGATATTGGTACGAGGCACCAAATAGATATGCGCCACACAAATCTAATTTGATATATGTGAGCGCTGCGATACTAGCCGGGTGTCCAAACCGAAGCAGGTGGTGTTCTTAGGGTGCCACATCCGGAGCCTTCGGCCTATAAGTCTGATCCACAGGGCAGTCGAGCATCGTAAGGAGATGTAGTCTCATGGTAATCGGTGACCAACATTTGGTTCGTACGCCATTTGTTCCTACAGGATACTGGAGCCTATGTTCACCATTGGTTTGGAATCAGAGTTTTCCAACTCCCCTATATGAACTTTCCGTGTCTACCAACCCGGTTAGAGCGCCGGACATTCGCTTTTCGTCCTCTCAATTTCGTAAACAACAACCACACCACGAGAAGTCAGTGAGTAGGGCTTCCCTGGAAGAGGCTATGTACGCGTGGCCAAGTGAGAGCATCTTTAGAGGGAGAGCGGACTCTTCCCACTCTCGGCCATACCAGGGCATTTGGGGGCAATTCAATGAATTGATATTATTAGCCAATTAGATTTTAAAGACATTTTTAATTATTGTTATTATGCACTCAATATTAATTGTCGAACCTCTTTAATAAAACTATAATGTAGTTTAATAGTTAAGATTGAGTCAATTGAAGCTAGACCACCATGGAAAATCTGAAAACACTAGACGGTCGTTTCGTCCTATTGTGGGACTCTTCAGCAGCGTGCACCCATGATTCTGTCTCGAGTTTTTATATCATATGATATGTCATGGTTTACTATGAATGCGGTTAATGATAATAGAGTATGAGTAGTTAGTCTATGCTTATTTTTTTAATAATATGAATCATATTTTATATATTTTATTTCGATTTACTCCATTGCATTGTCTAACTTTAAATTGAGATGAATTTAACTGTAAGTTTTGATACTATATCATAGTTTTCACTAGCTTTCTTTTTTTAAAAATATATTAGTTTGGAACTTCTTAATCGCTGTGTAGTTACCAATGACATGTTTATCTAGTTGTTTAGGGTCGATCGAATGCTGTTGATCAAGATGTAACATTTATCATCAATCTAAGTGACTCAAGATCATATGTAAGATGTTTAGATGTTAGGTGGTTAACGGTGGTATTTAGGAAGCTCTATCTGACCTAGGGTTTATAATAGTTGATACTCATAAACAAACAATATATGAAGTCTTAAGGGAAGTGATATTCACGCTGGGAGCCAAACCCAGATCATCCAGCTTTGTATTTTGAAGTGTTACCAATAAACAATTCGGACCACCAATGATATCTTGAAGGATTAGGAACTATACTGAATAGAGCTTTAATTTATTCATTAGGTATTTTATAAATTATAATCAAGTTTCAGCTATCCACTTGGATTTATTCTTTGAAAAAAAAATCGGGCAAGTTATAAAGAAATCTTCACTTGTTTTAGTATTAGTAATGAGAAAGTTTTCCATTCAAATTGCTTATTTACATTTTAGTTGAGAGTAGAAAAGATTAAATTTACACTTTAGCCTTTAACAAGAATGACCCAATTTATTTGTTAAGCTTGTATAAATTGAATGGAATTCTGGTTGTTTAAGTTATTGTTATTTTATTATTTGGTTATAAATCTATCTAAATCTAAACTAGGCAATTTATATTGGCATAGATATATATGAGGTGAATTAAGAAATCGATAAATCTTTATAAGCATATAGAACATACTTTTATTATTTTTTTAATAGTTTGATAGGTTTCAGTTACCGGTTACAAGTACAACTTGTTCTGTTTCTTGTTTTTCTTTGTTGTTGTTGTTTTCTTTGTCATAAGAGTAACATTTAATCGTTGATTCAACTTTTTGTTTTTGGCATATTTATTTCATGCTGTAATTCATAAATCAACACAAATGGATGTTTTACTTTTTCCCATTATAATTATAAATTAAAGATGAGTATTTAATGTTCTTAAAACATCTGAGAAATCAGTCAGTCAGTTACAAAATACGACCAAGCACATATGCCATAACTCATTAGCACAACAAGATGAACACCGGATTCATAGAAGTAGTTAATGCAGTGGTAGTAATATGTAAAAGAAAGATTGCATATAAGGACATAGTACAGGAAGAAAGAATTAGTTGGTAGAAAGAAAGACATGAAGCAATTTTAGTCTCGTAGTTTAAGGAAAGATAGAGAATGCATATACTGACGCGATTGTGATCGATTCTGAGCCATATCAATCCGAGTCTCCAATCATTGGTTACGATAGTCACGCCGACGCCAATCAAGTAGTCTGCGTCTACTAATATGGCTTACACTAGAATTTATTGACTTCAAGCACTGATGACACGTTTTGGCAATATGTAAATTGATTGTGATAAGAATTCATTTGAAAATAATTTTTATGTTATACTAACATATTAAGTGTTGAACCATTAGGACTTGAGGAACATTAAGAACATTCACAAAAGATCTTCTTTATAATGCATAATTTTCATGGTGTGAATAATTCTTTTAAATACTTGATTTGAAATTCAATTATCAATTAATTATTTCAACTAAAGTCACTTTACTATAGAGGATAATTTATATTCAATATCATTCTGTGTTATGATTTGAAACAGCTTTCAAGTAAAACTTTTGAAAATGTATCTTTAAGTTGATCATTACTAGGTAAATGATTATTAGAATGTCATGATTGTTGTACTATTTTACTTAAAAATCACGGGTTTTATATCATCTTGGTCAAAGATTCTCGTTACAGAAGAATTGTAATAAAGAACAAATTATCTATCTAGTAACACTTGGTTATTTATAGTTTACCAGTTGATGACAATTTATTACAAAGCCTTTCAAGACTGTTTTTTTTCTACCACAAATTGTTTATGATATATTATTGTTCAATGTAAAACTACTAACTGCCGCTTATTCTGAGAGTGAAGAAAGTTGTTAATGAGAATTATACAAAATCTCTCGGATATGACCTAAATTATGGACAATCTAAAATTGTGTATAGTGTCAGTATATCAGTCATTCATATGATGAATGACAGAAATAAAATGTATATTACATGGAAACTAAATTATTCAGATCTATACATTGAGTATTTTAATTCATACATCAATGACGCAAATTTGTTTTTTATACTTTAAAAGTAACTTACTAACTTAATTGTACTGACGGATATTTGAGGATTTTACATACTAATAAATGAATTGATTTCTTGAAAAAGGTAACTTACGACTTAACATTACAATTATATAAAAATAGACACAGCAAGAGGTTAGTTATAAAATTAGTTCTCAAGGGGACCAGACACTGTACAAACTTTTATACTACGATCCGAACAGCAAAACTCAATTCTGTGGCGTAACCATACGAGTAGCCAGCACCTTGGCAGACCATTCGCATTATATACTATTTCCGATCACTGATTGCGTCCATCAATTATGCACAGCATGAACAGATAAATTTTGAACTACCACGCTTAAATAACTGTTAAATTAGCAATAAAGACACGGATTACGAGGTACCAGTGACAATAGCCCTTAAGAATTCTAGAAATCAGTCATCAATATCAATGACACGGTTATCTAGCAAACCAGTTATGAATATAAGTTATCAAAGAAATCTGTCATAATGATGCCAGACCATCAGTAATATTCATAGTAAACCTCCAGTTTTACACAAAACCTTCAGCTCCGACATAACAGCATACACTTTGTTATATACATGTGGGATAGGGTATTAAGCGAGGCAGCCTAGCTTAAAGTAGTAAAGCTCAAACACACTTAAGACCCATTGTCTCATGTCGGTATATGATTACTCAGCCATCGAGATTATTATTTATTTAAAAAACGTCAAATTAATAAGTCGATTTAAGCTAGATCACCATTATAAACCTGAGAGTACTGAACGGCTGTTTCGTCACAGTATGCGACTTCTTGGCAGTGCGCATCCACAATCCCACACACAGGATTCAAATTCAGGACCTTCGATCTCATGTGTGAACGCCTAACTTCAGCCAGTCCACGATATTTCACGACCACCTTCCACTGTCTTCGGTGGATAACTGCCAGTTGAACTCCACCGGTCAATGATTATCACTAAGACTTCGAGAATAATCTCTCAAAACTAGTTAGCATGTACTCATTAGTGATCAACTTCAAGAGGTAATTCTAGAAGTTCTAGTGAAAAGTCCAATGGCCAATGAATTTATCTAATTAGTTGAAATTTAAGAACTTAATCCATAGTTTCTTTAATCAATTTTTTTCTACTCTTCATATAAACAGTTAATATTTATGAAATATTCTATGTTTACATAATTTACATTGTTTAATCACGAATAGAAAACAAAATGATATATTTAGTTATTGTTGTTTATATATTTTATTGTTTTTTC